TTTGTTTAAACACATAACCAACATGACTCACTGAATCAGACAGGTTATTTTAAAAATTAGCATAACCTTAGGCCCCATCCACACGTAGCCGGATGTTTTAAAATTGAAAACAGATATTTTTTTCTCTGTTTTCAGGAAATACAAGTCCACACGTAGCGTATTCGAATCGTTTTCGCCCCTCCACACGACAACAAATACGCTAATATCCCTTACAGAGCACGCGTAGTGTAAGTAGTATATGATATATGACAGCATCGTATTCGAAAAACTCCGTTTTCGTCTGTCCACATGTAATCTGGGGACCGTTTTTGAAAAGTTTTGAGAAGTGTTTGGTGCCCCAAAATGCCGTTTACGTGTGAATCGAACAGGGCCGAGTTGTTCAAAGCTGGGTTAAGATAACCCAGGGTTAGTGCGAGATATGAATTCAGATTTGAAAGCTTAAAAAGCATTTTACTTTTAATTCTTTTTGAAACAAGTTGATGATTGGAAGTTCTAAAAATTTCAGAGAAAATTATCCGAGAAAATGCTTTTGAACATAAGAAAAAGAAAACCCGGGTTAAATTTAACCCGGGGTTAAGCGCTAATGGACCTTTGAACCACTGGGCCCAGATGGCTAAAACGTCGGACAAAAAAAATTCCGTTTTAAAAAATACCCGGATACATTCGAACGAGGCCTCAGTTGCAAAAAAATTGATTTAGGGCTGCGTGCGCAATGCATGATTTCCAAAAGCAATGTCAAGGTATACGTATTGATGAACAAGCCTTGATTAATCCGGGTATCACAAAAACCTACGTAAGGGTACTGGTCTTCTTCAAAATTTAAAAGCCGCTTATGTCTAACATAAAAAATTCATTGGTGCCGTTACCTAGGTTTTACATCACAAATCAAACAATTTAATTTTTGCTTCGTGAACTTATGAAAGTTTTAATTAAAATCTTGTTTTCACTGAGTTCTTTTAATATTGACCTATAGTCATTGGGAAAATGCACCCTATGGCTTAGTCCTTTTGAACATCAACTACGTCACCATTAACAAAGACATAGGAAACGATCACCACAGATACATCGGACAAGGATGAAAAATTGTTATGAGCCTGTCATATTGATATCGGAGTTGTCATAGTAACGTAATGACGTCATAACCTATTTACTTGCAGCGTGTTTTTCAGCCGGTAGGTTGATCTTGCTGTTGTTAGTTCTCTCCCTTGCTCCGAGGGTTTATCTCCAGGCTCTCTGGTTTTCCCCAAGCTCCTCAAAAGCCAAATTCCAATTCCATATGGAACTCACGGACACGTTTGAACGTGGTTCTTAAGAAGCGCTTCGTGGGCAAACTAATTACAACTAATTTTTTTTAAAAACAAAATTACAAATCAGTTGATCCAAACTGCCAACTTTGTTGCCAGGGCTCTCTCCTACCTGTCCTTACTGAGTAAGAGAGAGAGAGAGAGAGGCTGGTAGGAGAGAGAACCTGGGAACGAGGTTGCCAAACAGCAGGCTTGAAAGAAGGAAAGTATTCGCATCACGTAGTTTTTTGTTTAAACACATAACCAATATGACGGGGAGATTCCCAAAAACGCTGCAAATGAGAATACGAAAAAACGCCGTTTAAAACTGAAGAAAGGAGAATTTTATAAATTGTACTCACTCACTGAATCAGACAGGTTATTTTAAAAATTAGCATAACCTTAGGCCCCATCCACACGTAGCCTGATGTTAATTGAAAACAGATATTTTTTTCTCTTTTTTTAGGAAATACAAATCCACACGTAGCGTATTCGAATCGTTTTCGCCCCTCCACACGACAACAAATACGCTAATATCCCTTACAGGAGCATACGTAGTGTTAGTAGTATATGATATATGACAGCATCGTATTCGAAAAAATCCGTTTTCGTCTGTCCACATGTAATCTGGGGACCGTTTTTGGAAAATTTTGAGAAGTGTTTGGTGCCCCAAAATGCCGTTTACGTGTGAATCGTGACAGAAAGCTAAAACGTCGGACAGAAAAATTCCGTTTTAAAAAATACCTGGATACATTCGGACGAGGCCTCAGTTGCAAAAAATTGATTTAGGGCTGCGTGCGCAATGCATGATTTCCAAAAGCAATGTCAAGGTATACGTATTGATGAACAAGTCTTGATTAATCCGGGTATCACAAAAACCTACGTAAGGGTACTGGTCTTCTTCAAAATTTAAAAGCCACTTATGTCTAACATAAAAAATTCATTGGTGCCGTTACCTAGGTTTTAGATCACTCATCAAACAATTTGTTTTTTGCTTCGTGAACTTATGAAAGTTTTAATTAAAATCTTGTTTTCACTGAGTTCTTTTAATATTGACCTATAGTCATTGGGAAAATGCACCCTATGGCTTAGTCCGTTTTATGACGAAGACAAGCCTTAAAGCCTATAATGAAGTCAACTAGGAGTTTTTGAAATATCATAAAATCAGCAAATTTTTCTCTCTTAAAAAAGAACGGAACTCAGTGTGGAGTTGGTAGTACTGAAGCTTAGTAGCCTTTCATTTACAATTCCAAGTCAAGATACCACAGAATGCACTGAGGTGCGTAGCAATATTTTCAGAAGGTATTACGATGATGTAAATAACTATTTATAACTGAAAACTGGCAATAGCTGAGGATATAAAAAGACATAAAGGGCAACGTTAAATGTTACTTCATTTTATATCTTAAAATTTTTGTTCCCTTTCAGATATTTTATCAGTTCTTGTGTTCTTTAATTTCTTTAGGAGCTTGTAACATTTCGGCAAGGTTGAATTTTATTTTTTAAATTAATTCCCCTCACTCTTCGAACGTCAGGAGGAAAATTATTTGCGCTTGGCTCCCCTTCAGTTGTACTATACTCAACCAGAAATTTAGTTAGTTCAAAATCATACATGAAGGAAGTATTAATAGTCAAGAAATGAATGTTTAATGAGTAACCTGAAATCTAACTAAACGAGGTTGAATTTACTTCGCTGTGGGGATGGAAATAAATTTTCAATTTACAAAAAAGTGCGAGCAAAGTGCTATGATTACATCTGAAAAAAAATATCATATCGATTAATATTTAAAACCCTGATATGATCAGATTTATGTGCAGATTTCAAATAAATGAACAGGACTTCTTGAAAAAAGATTATTTTTCCGTTAAATTTTAAGTTGAGCCATAGATTTAAAGACAAAATTTCAGGTCATTGGCCTCAGCACAATGGCTGCGGCTTCCAAGCTGAGACAATAATTTTTTTTTTTCAAACTTTCAATTGAAAAATGTTTAATATGTATATTAGTTTGTGAAGCAGCATCTCGGAAAGTTGAGCAAAAATAAATACTGAAATAAATAAACAACTACATTTTAACCACGGGGGCTGGCTGTTTGAACTGTTTGGTTCAGAAAGCTCCTTTCCACCATCCATTTTTAAAGGCAAATCAACCTAAGAAATTGTTAATAAACTTGTATGTAAACATCTTGATAACCTTAGTCATCAGCTGTCAATACTTTTAATTATAGGGATCGACCGCCTCTTCTAATTTTGCCTTTAGCATCAAACCAAAAGGATGGCCTATATAATGGTACATGCTACTGATAAAAATGGAAACTGATTGTCATTAAGGTTCATTAAAATGTCTCTAAGGAATGAAAACGAACAGATAAATAGAACATCAAACTGACAAAAAAAAAAACAAAAACAATAAACATTTAGAAACACCCTAGGTGAAGTGTAATACACTGCCTCGCCTTTTTTGGGCCGGATATTAGAGCCGGAGCCTTAGATTTGAGGACGAGAGCGAGTACCAGTCAGCGAAATTTAACTGAAAGTTTTTTTTTTTTTTAGCAAAATAATAAAACTTCTTACATTTGATAACTTGTTCCCGCCACTACGACATTCTCACTAAAACCTGTTGTAGAATGACGAAGGCTATCACGTTACTCGTAGTCGTCCTCAGTCGACTTTCCTCGAATCTAAAGCTCTCTGTTAATAGAGCTTCTCACCCAAAATGTTCGTTTCCTTTCAGTCCATACTATCAATAAAAAAAACATCAGCGGTTATTTACAAATCAACCAAAACCTCTTTTCCTTAGTTCTCACTAGTTGCTCGTTATAACTGAAACTGGTTCGACAGTTAGCGTTGTCGGGCGCGTTGTCATTTTCCGTCTCATATGCGTTACAGAATATCTGTTTGTCGCAAGCAAAAAGGCAACGTTTGGTTGACGATTCCTTTTACAGAAACGGCAAGCTAGAATTTTGGTAACTTCTTGGCGGAATTTAGGACAACGTAACGAGTAAATTACAGGATTCGCAGTGGAACCTAATAATCCAAGGAACATGGAAGATAAGTCGTATATCCAGGCTGATTTCAGGTCGATATACGATGTTACGATATTCCTTACAAAAGTCGGAGTCCAAGTTATGATGAAAACCACAGTTACTATAATGAAAAGTTTTGTTAATTTGCGTCGTGATAATAATAAAGCAGTATTTGTAAGTTTGGTGGCATCCGTGTTGAACCAGACATGATTAATAACACGTGAATAACAGAAAACCATGATGGTAGCTGGTAGAATAAGGCCAAATAAGAGAACAAGAGATGCATAAACCGTGCGAAGGGTTTCGAACCAAGTCGCTGTCTCCCTTGTTTCATTTAATGTTGTGACGTTCTGTCCCTTGTTAACACCGAGACGTGTCTCAAACACATATCCTGGGCTGCTCATAAAAGCAGCAAAGATCCAAACAGCAAAAACAACTTTCTTCACAAGAGATTTCACCATTCGTGTCAAGTGCACGAAGGGCTTCAAAATAGCGTAATATCTTTCCACAGCCAATGCAACTAACGTGTAGACAGAAATCAAAGCGTGGAAAATAAAATCCGGAAAATTCCCCTGTGTTACCCTGTAAGTAAGGAAAATTGTGTAGAAGAAAATCACGATAGCTAGCTCCAAATCTGAGCAGGCGAGGCTGGAAAGAAGAAAGGCATTGGCACTCACGCTTTGTTTCTTGTTTTTACAAATAACTAACATCACGAGAACATTCCCACAAAGATTGCAAATGAGTAATGAACAGGAAAGGGTCATTACTAGTAAAGAAATGGCTTCCATTTTTCTGAAGAAATTTGCCTACGTAGCTAAAGGACATCTCTCGTCAACACTTTGATTTACTTATAATTACCCAAACCCGATCAAAATACTAATTTGCCTAGGTTTTAATTAAAAAATATCTAAAACAATGAAACGATGTTTATTAATGAAGCTGGAAGTTCTTAAGAAGGAATATTTTAAAACATATTTAAATTGTAGTTATAAGATTTGCTATGGAACCCACTGTACTAGGAGACACTGTGAGCAAGACTAGGGAACCTTTAGTCGTCATTGAAGAGGATCATTGCGATATAAAGTTTTAAAAAAAGACAACGAAAAAGAGAGAACGAATAAAAAAAAAAAAGGAGCGAGATAAATGATAAAGATAGTATTATTTGACTTCAATAATAGTAGTCGAGGGTAGCGTCATTACCATCATTTGAATAGGCCATTTCCGAGTTCTGAAACCTTTCACTTTCAAAACGAGGCTAACTTTACATCCGTTCTTGTAAAAATGAATTGTATTTGCATGAGAATAAAAAAACATTGTCACATCAATATTTTCGCACTTAGCGAAGCTTGAGGCAAAATACTCGGAAATGGCCTATTTCCACCTAAGACAATATGAAGTTCAGTTAATTGAGTTGAAATTAATTTCAGGGATTAGTGACTGCACGTATTTTCATATAAATAGCAAGCTATCTAAAAACAACTGGTATCAACCGAGGGTATACGAAGACATAGACGGAAACGTTAAATGCTATCAAGAGAGGATAAAGCCTATCCTCTCTTGATGCTAATGTATTCTGCATCTAGATCATGATTTTATTCCTTTTATGACGCTTCATTGACTTCTGTCCTCCGAAAGATTTTGCGTACAATATTTTTAGTTTGAATATAAAATGCGTTCCTTTCCCTCTTTAGGAAACTGGTTTCACTCTATTATCTACTGCTGTGACTTACAGAGACTTACAGAGAGAGTTTCAAAACATTAATAATTTATAAAGGAAGCACTCAAGAACAAGAAATCAACGTTCAATGAGCATTACAGTTGATTAAACCAGGTTGAAATTCCTTTGCACGGAGCCCGAGCGGGATGGGGTGGGGAGGGGGTGGGGGGTTTGGAGGTACTTTCTTTAGTTATAAGAGGCTAATGGGGATGTGCCACTGAATGGGGTGGCATTTTCACGATTGGATTGACTATAATGGGGTCGCATTTTCAATAGAGTTACTACAATGGATTTTTGATGTTTGTAATGTAGATGAAAAGTAACGTGTTCTTCATTAAATCTAAAAAATGGGTCAATTCATAAAAATAGAAAGTGACTAAGCTGAGATCGCGAAAATTACATATTTGCCCAAAAGTGACTAAGATGGGGTTTACATTTGGCCACGGAATAGACTGTAACGGAGTAGGGGCTCTGAGAGGCCAGCGGCACATACCCAGCAAAAATTAACTCAAGTACCTCCCCGCCGGGGGGAGGAGCTCCGAGGTGGAAATAACCATTGAAACAGCACAAAGTGCTTCGAAATAGAGCTTTGAGCTTCTTTTTTTCAATTCAGACCACGTAATGTTCTCAAGGGAATTTGCCTTTTAACTTCACATAAATTATGCATACATAATTATGCACGTTGACAAAACGTGATTAAAAAAGATACCTTTCTCTCGGGTAACATCACGTGGTATGAAATGAGAAGACAACGTATACAAGCTAAAAAGCTATACTAGCTAAAGTTTTATCACTACGTTTACAAAGGTACCGGACCATTTTTCGATCTGCTGAAAAATTTCACCGGCCACTTCGTTCACACGAAGCCGTTCAATATTTTCGCTATGTTCACACAGAATTTTGAACGGCTAGACGCGTACGTCTATTAAAATTTCACAGTTAAGGTGGTGTGAACGAAACACTGAAACGCACGAACTTTCAACGGGTCGAAAATTCGTGCGGTGCCGTGTGACCTGCGAAAACAGCCGTTTCTCCTTGCTCCTAGCCACTTCGTTTCGCCAGGAGAGACGTCTGCGTCTCAGCGACAAAAATTCCATACTAATGACGTAAATTTGTGTTTGCATAATTAATCCGGTAGTCATATTGCTCCAATTGCAAATTTGTTCGATTTTATGTTTCTTCTGGTCGATTTTGGCGAAGTTTTGTGTTCACCTGCTAACGAGCTCCAGCAAGTCTCAAATGCTTCTTCAAGAGAAGAATATATTCCACGCTGAATATTGGCTCTTTGTTATAGATTCATCGCGTTTACATTTGACCTTTGTGGTCTTTTCTGTCGTTCGTAAACAATAGTTAAAACAATATGACTACTAAGTCGACAAATCAGAGCTCCTGACCAGATTCCGGACAGATTTTACGTCATCAATATGGAATTACTGTCACTGAGGCGCAGACGTCGACGTCTCTCCTTGCGAAATGTCCCAAGCGGGGGGAGCAAGGAAAAACGGCTGTTTTCGTAGGCTAGGTGCCTTGTGAGAGTAGCTTGACATGAGCAAGGTTGCGCATATAGCTTTTAAATAAATGAACACAAATTCTTAAAAAAGCATCAAAATAATAATAATAATGACGGTGATAATAATAATAATATTAATAATAATAATAATAATAATTGCAAAAAGGCAACGTTTGGTTGACGATTCCTTTTACAGAAACGGCAAGCTAGAATTTTGGTAACTTCTTGGCGGAATTTAGGACAACGTAACGAGTAAATTACAGGATTCGCAGTGGAACCTAATAATCCAAGGAACATGGAAGATAAGTCGTATATCCAGGCTGATTTCAGGTCGATATACGATGTTACGATATTCCTTACAAAAGTCGGAGTCCAAGTTATGATGAAAACCACAGTTACTATAATGAAAAGTTTTGTTAATTTGCGTCGTGATAATAATAAAGCAGTATTTGTAAGTTTGGTGGCATCCGTGTTGAACCAGACATGATTAATAACACGTGAATAACAGAAAACCATGATGGTAGCTGGTAGAATAAGGCCAAATAAGAGAACAAGAGATGCATAAACCGTGCGAAGGGTTTCGAACCAAGTCGCTGTCTCCCTTGTTTCATTTAATGTTGTGACGTTCTGTCCCTTGTTAACACCGAGACGTGTCTCAAACACATATCCTGGGCTGCTCATAAAAGCAGCAAAGATCCAAACAGCAAAAACAACTTTCTTCACAAGAGATTTCACCATTCGTGTCAAGTGCACGAAGGGCTTCAAAATAGCGTAATATCTTTCCACAGCCAATGCAACTAACGTGTAGACAGAAATCAAAGCGTGGAAAATAAAATCCGGAAAATTCCCCTGTGTTACCCTGTAAGTAAGGAAAATTGTGTAGAAGAAAATCACGATAGCTAGCTCCAAATCTGAGCAGGCGAGGCTGGAAAGAAGAAAGGCATTGGCATTCACGCTTTGTTTCTTGTTTTTACAAATAACTAACATCACGAGAACATTCCCACAAAGATTGCAAATGAGTAATGAACAGGAAAGGGTCATTACTAGTAAAGAAATGGCTTCCATTTTTCTGAAGAAATTTGCCTACGTAGCTAAAGGACATCTCTCGTCAACACTTTGATTTACTTATAATTACCCAAACCCGATCAAAATACTAATTTGCCTAGGTTTTAATTAAAAAATATCTAAAACAATGAAACGATGTTTATTAATGAAGCTGGAAGTTCTTAAGAAGGAATATTTTAAAACATATTTAAATTGTAGTTATAAGATTTGCTATGGAACCCACTGTACTAGGAGACACTGTGAGCAAGACTAGGGAACCTTTAGTCGTCATTGAAGAGGATCATTGCGATATAAAGTTTTAAAAAAAGACAACGAAAAAGAGAGAACGAATAAAAAAAAAAAAGGAGCGAGATAAATGATAAAGATAGTATTATTTGACTTCAATAATAGTAGTCGAGGGTAGCGTCATTACCATCATTTGAATAGGCCATTTCCGAGTTCTGAAACCTTTCACTTTCAAAACGAGGCTAACTTTACATCCGTTCTTGTAAAAATGAATTGTATTTGCATGAGAATAAAAAAACATTGTCACATCAATATTTTCGCACTTAGCGAAGCTTGAGGCAAAATGCTCGGAAATGGCCTATTTCCACCTAAGACAATATGAAGTTCAGTTAATTGAGTTGAAATTAATTTCAGGGAGTAGTGACTGCACGTATTTTCATATAAATAGCAAGCTATCTAAAAACAACTGGTATCAACCGAGGGTATACGAAGACATAGACGGAAACGTTAAATGCTATCAAGAGAGGATAAAGCCTATCCTCTCTTGATGCTAATGTATTCTGCATCTAGATCATGATTTTATTCCTTTTATGACGCTTCATTGACTTCTGTCCTCCGAAAGATTTTGCGTACAATATTTTTAGTTTGAATATAAAATGCGTTCCTTTCCCTCTTTAGGAAACTGGTTTCACTCTATTATCTACTGCTGTGACTTACAGAGACTTACAGAGAGAGTTTCAAAACATTAATAATTTATAAAGGAAGCACTCAAGAACAAGAAATCAACGTTCAATGAGCATTACAGTTGATTAAACCAGGTTGAAATTCCTTTGCACGGAGCCCGAGCGGGATGGGGTGGGGAGGGGGTGGGGGGTTTGGAGGTACTTTCTTTAGTTATAAGAGGCTAATGGGGATGTGCCACTGAATGGGGTGGCATTTTCACGATTGGATTGACTATAATGGGGTCGCATTTTCAATAGAGTTACTACAATGGATTTTTGATGTTTGTAATGTAGATGAAAAGTAACGTGTTCTTCATTAAATCTAAAAAATGGGTCAATTCATAAAAATAGAAAGTGACTAAGCTGAGATCGCGAAAATTACATATTTGCCCAAAAGTGACTAAGATGGGGTTTACATTTGGCCACGGAATAGACTGTAATGGAGTAGGGGCTCTGAGAGGCCAGCGGCACATACCCAGCAAAAATTAACTCAAGTAACTCCCCCCCCGGTGGGGGAGGAGCTCCGAGGTAGAAATAACTATTGAAACAGCACAAAGTGCTTCGAAATAGAGCTTTGAGCTTCTTTTTTTCAATTCAGACCACGCAATGTTCTGAAGGGAATTTGCCTTTTGACTTCACATAAATTATGCGTACATAATTATGCACGTTGACAAAACGTGAATAAAAAGATACCTTTCTCTCGGGTAACATCACGTGGTCTGAAATGAGAAGACAACGTATACAAGCTGAAAAGCAATACTAGCTAAAGTTTTATCACTACGTTTACAAAGGTACCGGAAAATTTTTCGATCTACTGGAAAATTTCACCGGCCACTTCGCTCACACGAAGCCGTTCAATATTTTCGCTATGTTCACACAGAATTTTGAACGGCTAGACGTCTATTAAAATTTCACAGTTAAGGTGGTGTAAACGGAACACTTAAATGCACGAACTTTCAACGGGTCGAAAATTCGTGCGGTGCCGTGTGACCTGCGAAAACAGCCATTTCTCCTTGCTCCTAGCCACTTCGTTTCGCCAGGAGAGACGTCCGCGTCTCGGCGACAAAAATTCCATACTGATGACGTAAATTTATGTTTGCATAATTAATCCGGTAGTCATATTGCTCCAATTGCAAATTTGTTCGATTTTACGTTTCTTCTGGTCGATTTTGGCGAAGTTTTGTGTTCACCTGCTAACGAGCTCCAACAAGTCTCAAATGCTTCTTCAAGAGAAGAATATATTCCACGCTGAATATTGGCTCT